CTCTGGACGAGCCAAAAGTGTCCGTCCTCCGTGTCCTGCAGCATCACGGCAGCAGTGTCCAGGAGGAGCCAGAACACATCAGGAAAGGTCTCGTTCTTACTCCGCTCTGGTGTTTTGGTTGGTGATGAAATTATTCAGTCCCTCAAAGTATTTCTTCTGGAAGATCTTCTGCCACATTTACTGCCACATATGGTGTAAAAAAAAGTCTGTAGCATCTCAAATGTGTTTAGCTATGAATACAGGAAAAACAAACAGTTCATTTCACAAAACAGTTCCTTACTTGTGTCCGTTGAACTGCACATGCTGCACTTCTTAGTTGGTTAAAATTCTATGAAATGCTGTTAGAAACTGAGCTTAAAAACAAAAAGCTTAGTGTGTGAGCCAAGTAGAAAACAAAAACAGCCAAACACTCCATGTTGTTATTGTTATGTCCTGGTTTAGTCCACATTTAGTCCTGGTTTAGTCCACATTTAGTCCTGGTTTAGTCCACATTTAGTCCTGTTTTAGTCCACATTTAGTCCTGTTTTAGTCCACATTTAGTCCTGTTTTAGTCCACATTTAGTCCTGGTTTAGTCCACATTTAGTCCTGGTTTAGTCCACATTTAATCCTGGTTTAGTCCACGTTTAGTCCACGTTTAGTCCTGGTTTAGTCCACGTTTAGTCCTGGTTTAGTTCACATTTAGTCCTGGTTTAGTTCACATTTAGTCCTTGGTTTAGTTCACATTTAGTCCTGGTTTAGTTCACATTTAGTCCTAGTTTAGTCCACATTTAGTCCTTTTTAGTCCTTTAGTCCGTTTTAGTTCCACATTTAGTCCCGGTTTCAGTCCGCATTTAGTCCCGGTTTAGTCCGCATTTAGTCCCGGTTTAGTCCGCATTTAGTCCCGGTTTAGTCCACATTTAGTCCCGGTTTAGTCCACATTTAGTCCCGGTTTAGTCCACATTTAGTCCCGGTTTAGTCCACATTTAGTCCCACATTTAGTCCCGGTTTAGTCCACATTTAGTCCGGTTTAGTCCACCGGTTTAGTCCACATTTAGTCCCGGTTTTCAGTTTTAGTCACATTTAGTCCCAGTTTTAGTCCACATTTTAGTCCCGGTTTAGTCCACATTTAGTCCCGGTTTAGTCCACATTTAGTCCCGGTTTAGTCCACATTTAGTCCTGGTTTAATGCTAGTTTAGTTCAGCTTTAGAAGTGTCAGTCTTCAGTCTGTTATTGTTTTTAAAGATGTTTGTGTCTCAAGTGTTCTTATAACAAACTAATGCCCCATTGGATTGTGGAATGGAAAGAAGATGCTTCTCATTATGTCTAACTGTTCACTTAACTACAGGAAGTAGTTCAAAAACTCTTTCTTTCTCTTTAACTCTCCCTTTCTTTATTTCACTCTCTCTTTCTCTCTCGCACTTGCCCTTGCTTTACTTCACTCTCTCTCTTACTTTCTCTCACTCACACTCTCTTTCTTTATTTCACTCTGTTTCTTATGCTCTCTCTCTCTTTCTCTCTTGTTCTCTCTCATGCCCTTTCTCTTTCTTTATTTTACTCTCTCTCTCTTTCTCACTCACGCTCTCTCCTTCTTTATTTCACTCTGTTTCTTATGCTCTCTCTCTTTCTCTCTCTCGTGCACTTTCTCTTTCTTTATTTTACTCTCTCTCTTACTCTTTCTCTCCCTCTCTTTTTCCTTATTTCTCTTTCTTTATTTCACTATCTCACTCTCTCTCTTACTCTCTCTTTATTTCACTATTTTTCTCTCACCCTCCCTTTCTTTATTTCACTCTCTCTCACTCTCTTTCTTTCTTTATTTCTCTCTCTCTTTCTTTGTTTCACTCTCTCACTCTCTTTCTTTCTTTCTTTCTCTCTCTCTTTCTTTGTTTCACTCTCTCTCACTCTCTTTCTTTCTTTATTTCTCTCTCTCTTTTTCTTTATTTCACACACTCTCTCTCTCACTCTATCTATCTCTATCTCACTCTTCCTTGCATTATTTCTATATTATATTTTATATATTTTCTCTCTTACCGTCCCTTTCTTGATTTCAGTCTCTCTCACACTCTTTCTTTAATTCTCTCACTCTCTCTCACCCTTTATTACTCTCTCTCCCTGTTTTTGTTTCACACACTCTCTCTCACTGTTTCTTTATTACATACTCTCTCACTCTCTCTTTCTTTATTTCACTATCTCTCACTCTCTCTCTCGTGCTCTCTATTTATTTCTCTCTATGTTTCTTTATTCTCTATAAATAAATAATCTCTATAATAAATTCTCTATGCTCTCTCTCTTCCCTCTTTGTACCACCACCCCCTTTCTTTCTTTCTTTCTTTCTTATCCTCTCTTACCTCACCCGTCTCCCGCTCTCTCCCCTTCTCCCCTCTTTCTCTCTCTCTGTCCATGTCTCCCATTGCCCCTCTTTCCTCTCCTCCCTTTCCTCTCTCTCTCTCTCTCTCTTCATATTTCTCTCTCAGTTCCTTCTCCTCCATCCATCCCTCCTTCTCTGTGATAATTAAAGGGTCACAAATGGGATTAGCTCGTGGGGAGTTGGACCCAGATGTCCTGGTGCTTAAACAGAGGAATGTTTAAAAGAGAAAATACCTCTGATTTGATCTGGATCTGCAGAGACCAGACCTCAGGGACGTCAGCACTTAACGTCGTTATGCTCGTTTCCATGGTAATTAACCATCAAACTTAAAGGTCCTATATTACGCAAAACTGAATCTTGTGAACTTTTAGTGTTGTTGTTAAAATGTTGTTCCAACCTCAAAAACAGACCTGGAGTTGTTTGAGTCATCAATTATTATTAGTCTGTCAACATCCCGAAAGCTCAAAATGCTCTGTTCCACCTTGTGATGTCATTGAGTGGTAGTTTTTACCTTTTACCAGGACAGCTCTGTATCTCTCTCCATCTTCTCATTTTATCCTCCCGCTCTTCCTCCTCCTCTCTCACTCTCTCTCTCTCACACACACACACATATATACTCTCTCACTTTTAAGCTCTCACTCTCTCTTTCTTTATTTCTCTGTCACTCTCTCTTTCTTTATTTCTCTGTCACTCTCTCTTTCTTTATTTCTCTGTCACTCTCTCTTTCTTTATTTCTCTGTCACTCTCTCTTTCTTTATTTCTCTGTCACTCTCTCTTTCTTTATTTCATTATCTCTCACTCTTTTTTCTATAGTTCACTCTCTCACTCTCGCTTGTTTTAGTTCAATCTCTCTTTCTCTCTCACTCTCCCTTTATTTCTCTCACTCTTTTTTATTTCACTCCTTCTCAGTCTCTCTCTCTCTCTTTATTTCTCTCTCAAACACACTTTCTCTCACCCTCTTTCTCTTTATGTCACTCTCTCTCCTTTGTTTTATCTCTCTCTCTCTCTCTTTCTTTGTTTCTCTTTCTCTCACTCAGTCTCTTTTTTATTTCACTCTCTCTCTCTTTCTTTAATTCATTCTCTCTCACTCTTTCTTTCTTTCTTTTACCCTCACACTCTCACTTGCTTTAGTTCACTCTCTCTTTCTCCCTCTCCCTTTCTTTATTTCACTCTCTCTCTCATTTATTTCACTCTCTCGGACTCTTCCTTGCTTCCTTTCGCTCGCTTTCTCTCTCAGTCTTTCTCTCTCACTCACTCTGTCTCTCACTCTCTCTTTCTTTATTTCACTCTATCACTCTTTTTTCTTTATTTCACTCTCGCTCTCTCTCTCTTTCTTTATTTCTCTCTTTCTCACACACACACTCTCTCTCACTCTCTTCCTCTCTCTCTTTCACACACACTCTCTCTCTTGTTCTCTATTTCTTTATTTCTCTCTCTCTCTGTGTGTTTCTTTATTTCATTCTCTCTCTCTTTCTTTCTTTATTCCTCTCTCTCTATCGCTTTCCCTCTTTCTTTATTTCTCTTTCTCTCTCTCTCTCACCCTCTCCCTCTCTCTCTTTCACACACACTCTCTCTCTCTCGTTCTCTATTTCTTTATTTCTCTCTCTCTCTCTGTGTGTTTCTTTATTTCATTCTCTTTCTCTTTCTTTCTTTATTCCTCTCTCTATATCGCTCTCCCTCTTTCTTTATTTCTCTCTCTCTCTCTGTCTGTCTCTCACCCGCTCTCTCTCTCTCTTTCACACACACTCTCTCGTTCTCTATTTCTTCATTTCTCTCTCGCTGTGTGTGTTTCTTTATTTCATTCTCTCTCTTTCTTTCTTCCTCTCTCTCTATATCGCTCTCCCTCTTTCTTTCTTTTCTCTCTCTCTCTCTCTCTTTGTCTCTCTCTCTCTCTCTCCCTCTCTCTCTCTCTCACATACACTCTCTCGTTCTCTTATTTCTTTATTTCTCTCTCTGTCTGTGTGTGTTTCTTTATTTCATTCTCTCTCTTTCTTTCTTTATTCCTCTCTCTATCGCTCTCTCTCTCACCCTCTCTCTCTCTCTCTTTCACACACACTCTCTCTCCTTCTCTATTTCTTTATTTCTCTCTCTCTCTCTGTGTGTGTTTCTTTATTTCATTCTCTCTCTCTTTCTTTCTTTATTTCTCTCTCTGTTTCTTTATTTCATTCTCTCTCTCTCTCTTTCTTTATTTCTCTCTCTCTCTCCCTGTCTCTCTCTCTTTCACACACACTCTCTCTCGTTCTCTATTTCTTTATTCCTCTCTCTCTCTTTCTTTCTTCTCTCTCTCTCTCTTTCTCTCTCTCTCTCTCTCTCTCTCTCTCTCTCTTCTCACACACACTCTCTCGTTCTCTATTTCTTTATTTCTCTCTCTCTGTGTTTCTTTATTTCATTCTCTCTTTCTGTCTTTCTCTCTCTCTCTCTCTCTCTCTCTCTCTCTCTCTCTCTCTCTCTCTCTCTCTCTCCCTCTCTCGTCTGCGCTCGTGCCTCTCTCAGTCGGTCTCGTGCCAAACTCGCGCGGTGCGTCTGTGCGCGCGGAGTCAGTGGGAGCAGACGGCGCGTGGACGGGGCTCGCGCAGGGACAGAGAGATGCTCCGTGCGCTCGTGCTGCTCCTCGTGCTGCTCGTCGTGCTCCTCGCGCTCGTCGTCTCGTGAGCCATGGCGTACCCTCCGGGCTTCCTGTTCCCGCCACCGCCGCCGCTGTCCTCGTGCCCCTCTGTGGTGCTGGGCTCGCGCGCCGGTCACGAGGGCTCGGCCTTCGCTCCGTACTCCGCTTCCGGGCCGCACGCGCCTTACGGAGCGGAACCGCGCGCCGCCTCCGCCATCAGCTCCTTTCTGGTGAGTGACCGGACACGGGACACACGGGGAACGGGACACGCGGGGGTTTAGACACGCAAAAAGTTTGAGTTAGACTTAAACTTGTGCGAAAAAAATTAAAGTAAAATAAAATAAAATAAAAACGTATCAAAGGTTAGGCAGCGGTAACTTTTATTATCCGAAATCCGCTATCCGAAATCATGAATTCAATCCGGAAACGCTGTTCTAAGGTTCCAAACTCCATAGCAAAAACGCAATTCTAATGATAAAACTTAAGTGAATTTTGAATGTGGGAAAATCCTCACAAAATCCTTCAAATCAGGAAGAGACCATTTGCCTGAAAGTCCAGAAGGCGGGAAAAAAATTAAAAAGCATTGTTTTAGAGGGAATTTAAAGCTGACGATTCCTGACAAATCCTAAAATCAGAATTTAGAAGCAAATGCGTCCGCGTGTCTCTTATTGTTCACCGTAAAACAACGCAGGCCTAATTCAACATTTTAATTAGTTGTAAGCATTCTAGATTTAACAGACATTGGTAGAATTTAAGTGAAAATAATGAATAGTATCGCTACGTGTTGCTATGTCCATTTTTAACTTTGAGCGTTCGTCATTTTGTGGGAACCAAATCTAAGACTCGTTAAAGTGACGGACAAAGTGCGGGATTTGTCATTTGCTTAGCTTCATAACGCTAATGGCATCGTAAAGATAATTTCGTTTTTACTTTTAATCACGCTGCAGAGCATTTAATAATTTTGTTATAATTCCTCAAACAAGGGCAAGCGTGTGTTAGTTTTAAATGCTTTAAATTGTTTATTTTAAAAAAAGAAAAAAAAACACACAAAAAAAGCGTAAAGCCGTCCGATCTGTTTTGAGTTTTAACATAATGTAAATAGAGAGGAGCTCCCCATGGTGCTGAAATCGCCATCGTTTGAAAAATCATCATTATATCCTAGAAGTTGCGTCATTTTGAACAACATTTACAACAAACAGAAGCAGAATATTGATATTTTTAGATTTATATTTATTTTAGCATGGGCTGTATGTTTTTATTAATCAGTAGTTGCGTAAAAAATCTGACATTTGCAATCAAACCTTAAATAGTTAAAAAAAGAAAAAGGCCTATTCAAATTGTCTTGCAAAAAAAGAATATTATAAGATTCATTTTTTTGTTTTGAAAATTTTGAATATTGAGTTTTGATGTATTGTCTGTATGTTTACGAAAAATATCAAAAAGCCGGAAATAGAAAGGAACATATAAAAGAAAGATAATATGCATGATAGAATAAATATGAAATGATATTCCTTCACTTTTTTGGTACTTTTTTAATCCATCCATAACAACCATGTGCAAAGACATTTAAGCACATTTTAACCGTAAAAAGTACTTTTATGATTTGGCTATTTTTGGCGATTTTATAATCTAAATATTTACGTCAATATCTCACCCCAAACCCTATTTTGAAAAGAAATTCAACTTAAACTTAATTTTTTTATAAGGATAGAGGCGATATTCTTGCACTTTTCTGGTAAATTACTGTGCAAAAGAAAAAAAAAACTGATGTCCTGCAAAAATGTATTTAAATGTCACAGTATGACATTAACCACATCTGTCTAGCATTTATTCATTACGGGTGTTTCTATTCCATAAAAATACAATAATTCTCTCTGTGAATAGGCCGACTCTCCACAGATCTGACCTGTAATGTAGACTGTAGTTGTCTCCCTTGAGATAGAAAGGTGGAACATTCTAGACAAAGCGATAACATCTCCATGGAGGCAAGCAGGTGACAGATCCTTCACTAGAAAAGTTGCGCAATGTACCTATGTTTATCCTGATGATTTTGAGAGTCCTGGATTTTTTTTAAAAAGGATTTAAAAAGTCTTATGAGATCACATTCCTGCACTTTTACGGTATTTTTGCAATCCATTTAAAAATTTCAAAGACATTTAAAGCTCCTATATTACACAAAATTAACTCTTGTGAGCTTTAAGTCATGTTAGAATGTTGTTACTGTGTCAGAAACAGAAACAGTTGTGTTTTGTTTCATTTACACTTGTTTGAGTCTCAGAATGCTCCATTCCAATTTGTAATGTCATGAAGTGGTTTTAGTTTTCAAGTTAACAGTTACTTTTTACCTTTACTTTAGAGTTAGACTTAGACTTTATTGATCCACAAGGGAAATTATTTGGACACAGTAGCTCACACATTATAATAATAACAAAGAGAAAAAATCTAAATCAAAAAATAATAAATTCAAAATAAGCAGCAAAAATAGCAAGAGAATAAGGCATAATTATAGAAATGTATATGTAGTAAGTAAAAATGAAAAATAGAAATGCAATAATACCATAATATTGTAAGTTGAGTAAATAGAGATCAGAAATTCCATCCAGATTATATAGATGAAGGTGTATGAAGTTTAAAAACACAGTGGAGCACTTCCTGTATTACCGCAACCTCATTTTCAGAACTTAATATTCAGGGTTTTTGTGTTAAACGTGTGAATGAAAAAAAAAACAACTCCAGGTCTGTTTGTGATGATGAAAAAATATTAGATCATAGATCAGAAAATAGTTTACATATTTCTAAAATTGAAACTGAAACAGAAAAATAATAGTAAATTAATTAATGTAATTAATTTGTGATAAACTTTCTCAAAATGTCTTTTTTTTAAATCTCCCTGTCTTAACCTAATTTTTATTGATTACGTGTAGAGTCCTGGGTTCGAGTCTTCCACTGCTCTGGACTTCCACCCCTTTGCACCCTTGGGACCCTGTCACCCGTACGCTGATCCCGCCTACAGGAAGAACGCCACGCGTGACGCCACAGCAACGCTCAAGGCCTGGCTGAACGAGCACCGCAAAAACCCTTACCCCACCAAAGGGGAGAAGATCATGCTCGCCATCATCACCAAAATGACGCTGACGCAGGTGTCCACATGGTTCGCCAACGCTCGCAGGAGGTTAAAGAAAGAGAACAAGATGACCTGGACTCCCCGCAACCGAAGTGAAGACGAAGAGGAGCCGGAAGAGCTGGAGCCAGACCGACCTGATGAGTACGAACAGGCACTGAGGCAGGACCACCACCAGGGGGAGACAGGTCAGACTCAAGGGGCGAGTAACTAGTAATGTTCATATTAAAAGGTGCACTGTGTAACTTTTCTAGTGGATGGACACCAGTCATCACCTTCTTGTTTCTATGGATATGTCATTGCTCTGCCTGGAATGTTCCACAGTATGACATTAATCAGCTCTACCTTACATTTATTCAATTACAGGTGGTTTTATAGCTCAAAAATACTTAGAAAAACAAGCTTTCTGACTGTGAGCAGGGTCACCTCTCCACAGATCTGACCTGTAACTTGGTTTGGTTTGGTCTCCATGAAGATAGAAAGAAAAGTTTAATGCCATACTGTGAAACATTCCAGATAAAGCAATAACATCTCCATGAAGAAAAGCATTTGATGGACCCTCCACCAGAAAAGTTACACAATGCACCTTTAAGATTTCATTTCCCTAAACTGAATCGTCTATACTAAATAATAATAAAGCTTTAAGTGATGTGGTGGCTGTATCGGACAGTTGTGGTGAAGCGGGACCTGAGCTGAAAGCCAAAGCTCTCGACCCTCACCTATGGTCATGAGCTCTGGACAAAATCGCAGATACAAGCAGCCAAAATGAGTTTCCTCTGCAGGGTGGCTGGGCGCTCCCTTAGAGATAGGGTGAGGAGCTCAGTCACACGGGAGGAGCTCGGAGGTAGCTCAAACATCTGTTCCGGATGCCTCCTGGGCGTGTTCCATGCATCCCACTGGGAGGAGGCCCAGAGGAAGACCCTGGACACACTGGAGGACCTATGTCCCTGGGCTGGCCTGGGAATGGCTTGGGGTCCTCCTGGAGGTGTTGGAAGTGTCCGGGGTGAAGGAAGTCTGATAGTCTCTGCTCAGACTGCTGCCCCTGCGACCCGACCCTGGATGAACGGAAGAAGAAAATGGATGGACTGATGGCTTTTAGTCATGTTAGAATGTTGTTACCTTCTCAGAACTAGACCTGACCTTGTGTTTTGTTTCATTCACACATGTTTGAGTAATCCTGCATTATTAGTCTGTCTACATCTCCAAAGCTTTGCTCCACCTTGTGATGTCATGAAGTGGTAGTTTTCAAGTTATCAGCTCTTTAGTCACCTTTAGTTCAGTACAGGCAATTCCAGGGCTGAAATAATTTAGATGATTCTAGTGAAGATGTAAGGAGTTTAAAAACACAGTGGAGCACTTCCTGTATTACCACGTGACATCACAAGGTGGAACAGGGTGTTTCAGTTTGAGAGAAGAACCCGGCCTAAATATGCAGGGTTTGTGTGTTAAACATGTATGAATGAAACAAAACACAACTCCAGGTATAAAAAAGGAAGACGAGTGCTTCAGTGAGTTAAGTTTCAGGTCAGGTGCTCATTAGGATCACAGCGGAAATTTCACTTACAGACGTTTAAGAGAAAAATCCGAGGCACTCCAACGGCATTAAAAAGTCCTTTAATATAAATAATGGGACTAGTCTACACATTTTAGTCACGTGGGGCATTCTTCAAGGCAGACAAGAATAAAAGGATGCCAGGTGCTTTTAAATAAACCAACAACATTCACATTATTTCAATTAGACAAATGACAAATGTTTTTATACTTGTATGCTATGAAGAAGGTGCCATGTGGCCAAAATATGTGGGCTAGTCCCGTTTTTTACATTTAATGGCTCTGCAGTCGGAGTTCTTTTAATTTTTTCTCTTAAACAACTCCAACTCCAACAACTTTGATGAGGCAACAACATTATAACAGAGATCATGGGCCCTTTAAAAACATGAAATCATACATGTTGCATTGATGTGACATCAGAACTGTCCTGAGCTCGAGGACAGGTCCGAATTCTCAGGTGGAATTTGTTGTCAGGGTCAGATTACAAATTTGTTGACCTGGTTTATGGTTCATATCTCTGTAATTACTGGGCCTATCCACATGGAACAAAAGAAAGGCAAGGCAAGTTTATTTGTATAGCACAATTCATACACAAAGTAATTCAAAGTGCTTTACAAAATAAGAAAGACATTAAAATCACAAAATAATTATCATAAAATTAAAAAGAAAGAGACATTAAATAAGAGAGAAGAGTACAGAATGAAAAATGAATATGCAGCTAAACAGAACCATTTTCAGTCTGGATTAAACAGAGTCAAAGTAGAGTCTGTCTCACATGTTCAGACTGTTCCAGGTTTTAGCTGCGTGAATCTGAAACTCTGACTCCCCGTGTTTAGTCGTGACTCTGGGCACCAGCAGGAGGCCAGTCCCTCAGCAAGGCAAGGCAAGTTTATTTGTATAGCATAATTCGTACACAAAGTAATTCAAAGTGCTTTACAGAATAAGAAAGACATTAAAATCACAATAAGAACAAATCAAAACTTAAATAATCATCATAAAATTAAAGATTATAATTAAAAAAGAGAGAGACATTAATTACATAAATTAGACAGAAGAGTGCGGAATGAAAACCTTTCAGTTGTATGCAGCTAAACAGAACCTTTTTGAGCCTGAATTTAAACAGTGTCAAAGTAGAGTCTGTCTCACATCTTCAGGAAGAACTGCGTGAACCTGAAACACTGACTCCCCGTGTTTAGTCGTGACTTTGGGCACCAGCAGGAGTCTGATCCCTGAGCTCCTCAGAGTGCGAGATGGTTCATACGGTACTAACATGTCACAGATGTACTTTGGTGTTAGGCTGTGGAGAGACTTGTACAAGCAGAGCCACTTTAAAGTCTCTGAGCACAGGACGCATGTGCTCGTACGTCCTAGTTTGAGTCAGGACCCGAGCTGCAGCGTTCTGGATGTTCTGCAGTGTTTCACAGCTCGTTTGGAGAGACCAGCGAGCGGGCTGTTACAGAAGTCTAACCTACTGGAGACAAACACATGGATAAGTCTTTCCAAGTCTGATTTAGACAGTAAACCTTTGATTTTTACTATGTTTTTTAGATGGTAAAAGGCTGCAGATGTTATTGATTTGATGTGGCTCTTTAAGTTCAAGTCTGAGTCCAGTATTGCCTTTAGATTTCTGGCCTGATTTGAAGGTTTTACAGAGAGAGACTGAAGGTGACTCTTTGTTTCTGTGGGTCAAAGCACAGCAGCAGTTGACATTAGAATTCTCACTGACTATGGTATAATTTGATTCTATGCACAGGTTCTGAATGTCTCTCCCTCTCACCTCTCTCTCTCTCTCTCTCTCTTTCTGTTCCAGCTCCCGCCTCGTCTGGTCCCTGGCTGACCTCCGACCCCACCTCCTCCTCCTCGTCTTCCTCCTCCGACTGCACCCCCCACTGCAGCCCCGAGCCCCCGCACTCCCTACAAACACAGCAGCGCCCCCTCCCGCTCACCACAACCACGCCGCCTCCACCGCCTCCTCTACCGCCGCGCCTCTCCCCTCCCCCTCCCCGCCCGCCCCGGACCCCCCCGCCAAACCCAAGCTCTGGTCCTGGTCCCTGGCCGAGATCGCCACGTCGTCGGACACCAAACCCGCCCAGGACCACCCCCGCCCCACCACCCCCACCCAAAGGACCTCATACGCCCACGGGAGCGGCCTGAGCAGAGCACTGTACTTTTCACCCGCGTATATCTACCACTACAGCCCCGTGACACCCACTCTGCCCCTGAACGGATTATACTCCAGACCTGAGCGCGATTTCGGACTTCGGAATTTTGGAGCGGAAAAACAGGACCACCAACTCCTCGTGCCCCTGTGATTCTGGTTATTGTTTAAGAAAGATGTCCCCGGAATGGATTTAAACGGACTTTTATTTAGGAAAACGAATATTTGGAAGAATTTTAGACGTTTTTCTATGTTGGTAAGATGTAAACTTTGTATTAACGTAACATCATTAAAGCTAGTTTTATCAGACAGACCTGAGGCACCGTGGTTTTTGTACTTTTTTAAGAAGCGAAAGCAACAGAATTAAACCTGGGTTAGTATTACGGTTAAATAAAATATCATTAAAATCATTATATTTAAGATTTGACTTTATACTTAGTTCCAGAATGGACACAGGAAGCATATATGACCAAGTTTGCCAGGCTTCAGCGACCCAACCTGCACAAAAACGGCAAAAAACTCACGGAACGTACGACACAGGTGTATTTTCCAACATATTTATGCCTTTTCCTCTGTTCTCTCACACAAGTTGAATCTCCACAAGGCATAGGTGACTTTGAATATGAAGATTTATCACTGAAAATCAGGACTTTCGAAAGGATAATTCTAAAATCAATACATTTTACAAGGAAAATAGCTCTGTCCAAACCCGTCGATAATATTTTAACCCGCTGCAGCTTGTAAAAAACGTCCAATTCCACAGGAAAACTGAGTCAAAACTGGATCTGACATACATACTTAAAGGTAAATCCATACCTTATACCTAGCAACCATAATATAAACAACAGCCAAAAACTAAAACAAAATTTCTGATGATTTGGCGAATACAAATAAATGACAACACTTTTACTTTGTTAAATGTTAAAACTTTAAACTGTTAGAAAAATGTCTTCCTTGTGCGTCACTTCATTCATTTTCAATATGGTTCCATTACACAACTCTACTTTCGACATATTTTACTTTTCTTTTCTGCTTTTTCCTCACAAACTGCCACTTAGGTGAAAATTACGACACAAGTCAGAGTAAGAAAAATATGAAAACTTGTCGTCTTCACTTTAAGTAACATAAACTAGATGCAAACTCCAAAATATCCTCTTGAACTTGTAGTTTAAACATCTACAAACATGTTTTAAAATGTCCCTGTGTGTCAGATGCCCTCCCTGTGTTTCCAGGTGGTCTTATTTCGTGTAAAGTAAGTCTGTAGTTTTCACTTTTCCACAGACATGTTGTGAAATGCGTGGGGTTTTTGTATTAGTTTAGCAGTTCAGATTTCGTCGTTTCTTTCATTTAAGTGTTACTGCTCTGGAAAAAACTATATCTAGGTAACTTATCTAGACTTAAATTAAGAACATTTTACTTTATTTGAGTAGATTCAACCTTACAAATCCACTCCAATCTACCAATGGAATAAGTGTGTTTGTCTTAATTTAAGCAACATTCGATTTTGTTTCTTATTTTATGTTCAAAGAGTTGTTGGTTTTTTTTATTTTAAGTGTAGCAAGATGTATTTTCATATTTTAAGTACAAAAAGTCTTATTCCACTGGCAGATCATTTACTTGTCAAGTGAAATTGACTCAAATCATGATAAAACTTTTTTTAATTCAAGTCATCTTAACTTGTCAAAATGTTGTTTTTTGCCGTGTGCTGGTGGACAGGTGTAGAATATGCACTTCAATTTAAATACCCGTCAGGAAAATCACAAAACAGCCGACAGTCGCTCAGTCGGTCAGAGTGTTTCCCCGCTGATCTGAAGATTGGCGGTGCAATTCCAGCTCCCACAGATGAATGCTGTTGTTGTGTCCTTGGGCAATACACTTAACCCACCTTGCCCCCAGTGTCTTTGTACACTGGTGTATAAATGTGTGTGTGTGGGTGAGTAGTTCTTTGTTGTAAAGTGATTTGAGTGCCTTGAAGGTGGAAAAGTGCTGTATAAAAATGTGACTATTTATCAATTCAATATGATTCCAGAATTATTCAGACCAATTTCAAATGTTATTTTTATTTTATTATTATTATTTTTAGGTAACGTGCATTTCATTGCACTGATTTGTTAATATATGAAGTTGTCCATAATCTAACCTCCCACTTGCAATGATGCAAAGATTAATTTTGCTTTTAACTAAATAAGAAATGGTGAAAAATTATCATTGTATTCTTCATTATACAAGCTTTTGTACATTTGTTTTGTGTGACATAAACATAGAACAGTTTGGCTTTCTGAGTATCACCAAATGTAGAACGGGTCTGCACTGACATTGTGATTAAACATGTCTAAACTACGACTAAACCAAGGCTAGAAAATGTAAGTAAACTTTTCTGTAAACAGATACAACAGTGAGCTGTCAGAATGATTGGATCTTCTAATATGTGACTCCAAAAAGTCATGCTCATTCAAAGGGAAACTTTTATTTTTATTTGAAAACAAAAAAGGTACAAAAACAAAAAAAGTTCAAGCAGACCTGTTATGCCAAATAGACTTTTCAGAGCTTTTTACCATGTTATACTTGTAGTTGTTTCCTCTTCTCATTTCCCCTCTCGAAGTTGTATTTGGTTAATTGGTGCATGTCTGACTCATCTTTAATCACTTATTTTCAGTATGTCATTTTGCCAATCAAACTCCATTTTCACTGCCACCAGTACATGCCCACTGCTCTGTAATTTTCCAATTTTATTTTCTTATTCTGTCACACATGTAGGATACAGCTGTGTCATGTAGTCATTTTGGTACAAATGTGAACTATTCTGTGACGTGTTAGTGTGATCTGCAGCTGTCCATCGGAGGAGTAACATTCATGGAGACATCAGTGCCCACTGGGCACCGGAGTTTTCTAACTCAGAAATCAGTGCACTTGTTTCTTTTATTAAGTAGGCTTAAATCAGACCTGGCCATTGTCCAGCTCTCGAGCCACAAACAGACTTTTGATTTACTCTGTCCAGCCTGTTTAACATAATCTGAAATTGCAAAATAGACATAGACTTTTTTTTTTTATTACTTTTTTTTAAGGCAACCTCACTTTTTCATTAACCTGATTCATCAGACAGTTTCACTTCGTGGAAACTGTCTGACCTCGCACCATTAGAATTCGTTCTCTCGATGAACACAAAAACAAGAGAAAGGTTTGGGTTGTAGTAGTATCGAAAGTGATACTAATCGCTACTAAAACTAATATCGTAACTATATACTCATTTGAGCAGGTATCGATACTAAAAAGTCAAATTCACAGAACAGAAATGAACCTTTAATTTTTTTTTTTTTTTTTTGTACTTACAAACTGAACTCTCTCCATGCAGGACTCTTTTAATGAATACACATACATAATAAATACTAATTACTATTCTGTAAAATATCTGTGCATGTTGTCATGGTAACAGCATGTTTAAATCAATGTGGATTTTAAGCAGTGAATGCTCCATTAGCTCTTGAGTTTGCTTGGTTTTATCGCCCCCACCTGGACACTTAAATAACAGCTGCATCTCATAAGATAGTTTCACTTTCATTTAATCTTTTGACGAAATCATTATTATACTACAAGAATAGTATTATTACTCTATATTTATTGATGTATTTATTTGACGGAGATATTACATGTACACTTTTTTATTTTCTGATCTATGTTCTAATTTTGTTTCGTCATCACAAACAGACCTGCAGTTGTGTTTTGTTTCATTCACAGATTTAGACTGAGGTCTTCTCTCAAACAGAAAACAATGTTCCACCTTGTGATGTCATGTGGTAATACTGGAAGTGCTCCAGTGTGTTTTTAAACTCCATACACTTTCACTAGAATTGTTGGAGATTCAGACTGACTATTAATAGATAATTCATCAAATAAATGTGAATGAAACAAAACACAGCTCCAGGTCTGTTTTTGAGGCGGTAACAACATTATAACATGGCTTAAGCTCACGAAAGTCAATTCTATGTCATGTTGGACTTTTAGGCGCAGTGTGAATGTGAACAGTGATAAACTTCCAGACTGTTTCAATAATGAGTCCCTTTGACAGATTCAGATGAATAATATGTGAAAATATCCAAACTCTGATTTGTTACTAAAGAATTGTGTAAGATTACAAAAAAGTATTCTTTATTTTTTATTATTGATATTAAGTGATATATTTTAAGTTTACAGTTAAGTAAATATTATTTATGTCCTCAAATGCTTTTCCAAGACTACTACCACTAATGTTTATGGTAAATGGTCACATTTTTCTATAGCACTTTTCCACCTTCAAGGCACTCAAAGCGCTTTACAACAAGGAACCACTCACCCATTCACACACACATTCGCACACCAGTGTACGCAGACACTGTGGGCAAGGTGGGTTAAGTGTCTTGCCCAAGGACACAACAACAGCATTCATCTGTGGGAGCTGGAATCACACCAGCCAACCTGTGGGTCAGTGGATCTGACCGCTCAACCTGTGATGTTTATGTCGAGAGCTGGAATCAAACCACCAACCTTCAGATCAGTGGCTCCACCAACTGAGCTACTGCCACCCATTTATTTTTATCTTGAAAATGATTCTGAAATGACTCTGTTGATAACCCTACACAGCAAAAACTGGAGGGTTCAAATTTAAGGGTGAAATATTTCAGAGTTGTTTTTAACACAAAAAGTGTCATTTTAACTATTTAAAAATTAAATGGGGGTTTGAGTTGATAAGCCAGATGTGCCAGAGTTGATATTGTTGAAGTGAATTCAACTTCCACTAGTGTTCATTCAACTTCCCTTGGTGTTAATTTGGCACCTCCAACCACCACTTCAAACTCCCACGAGAGAAGACCAGTTTGAACCAGTTTTGTACAGAACACATAATTTCATCTTAAATTAATTAAAATGAAGAGTAAAAATAAAACACCTCTGTGTGTTGCTTAGCTAAATCTGAATAACTTTACAAAGTGTTATCTGTTTACTCTCAAAACCTTAATATAACTCTTAATTTTGGGGTTAACTTTGGTCCAGTGTTAATTAACATTTCCAAAAATGTTAAATTAACTCTAGAAAGGATTGGACTGGAAAATGTTAAAACTGATTCCGTGAGAGTCAATTTTAACACTCCACTTTTTGCTGTGTACTTGAGTTGAGCACTATATATGAATGGCATCTCGTTGCCATTTCAGAAGGACATTTCACTCGTGTGTTTTGTTTTATTTGTTTTATTTATTTTTGTATTATTTCATTTTATTTATTTATCTCAGGTCTTCGTGCTCTGGGTCTTGGCTCATTTCCTCCTCCAGATGATTGGATGTGTCTTCAGACCTGAGTCTCCCTGAACCCTGCTCTCCTCTCTCTCTCTCCCTCTGCTGTTCTATGTTCCTTTGTTTTCTCCCTTTTTCCTTTGTCTTTGTCTCTGCCCCTTCCCTCTCTCACTCTTCTTCTTTGCCTTTCCCTCTTTCTTACCTTCCTCCTCTCTCCATCTCTCTTCCTTCGTCTTAAGTGTATTCAGTAATCACAGACACATCTTTAAGTTGCTTTAAGTTAAGAGGTAGCAAGTTACAATTGTAGCCACAGCTGCCCTGCTCCAGCGGCCCCTCCGACCACCACGAGTAAAGGTGGATGAAGTGTCTTGCTTAAGTACACAACAACAACACTTAGGGGTTGGGGGGCACTGACCAAGCTCAAGATCTGGAGGGTCCCACTGCTCCTGAGAGATTTAACCCAGAGACACTGAACAATGGCTCAAACATAGAGGTACACTTTATTGCAGACCTTTATTGCCATTTACGGCTTTTTGGTTGACTCTGATTGTCCCGTTTAAGCTCACTTGGAATTTCAAAATAAACACATTTTGCACTGCTTTTATTTTAGATGTGTTTTTAATGACATTTTTTGTAAGGCAACCTCACTTTTTCATTGCTTAGTTACCTCCCCATTCAACCTCCCCATTTTGACAACATATTTTTTTTGGATTAGAGACGCAGGTTTGACGCTGTTTGCACACGGTCATCAAATTTCAACTCAAATGAATATGTGTAGGTAGTTCATTTGGGCAGTTGTATTCTGCTCAAATAGGGCTCAAACTAAAGGTAACACATATCCACAGGACAATTTAGCCATCGACTAATGTTCCCACTGTAGAATCACTATTATTCACGCATTTAGATGAATTTGGGTAGAGGAGCTCATTTCAACAGGTCTGTATCTTTTATCAAATAAGGCTCCCATTATATAGGAGAAAGAAATGACAGGAAACACTCAAATCTTTCTTTATTTTAAATAGCATTAAAAATATAATATATCATAGGCTACAGTGTGAATTTCCTGTTATAATATAGTGATAGTTTATTTTTACAGCGCCTTTCTAAACAAAGTTACAAAGTTTTCCACACATGGAAACAAAATAAAATACGATGTGAAGAAAATGATAATGACAAAATCAAATATTAAATCCAAACTATTCAATTATCTAATGTAGATATTCTGCCGTAAATCTAACACACACATGTGGTTGTTTAAATGGTCCAAACAGACAATAAAACCAAGGCACTTTTAAAATGTTACTTGTTACTCCACTTCTGCTTCAAGAGCTCAAATCGACAGCAGTTAAACTGGAACAGCACTTGGGGGTTGTGCACAAGGGCATTTAACCTGATTCATCAGCTGGTTTCACTTCATGAAAACTGTCTGACCTCACAGCATTAGGATTTGTTCGCTCAAAGGTAGGTGAGTACTTTTTTTTAAATTTAACCAATCGCTGACATCTGTAATGCGCCGAAACACTCAGTGGTGTCCAAGTACTTACCGGCACAACAGCAAACAAAGCAGAGAGTGAATATGTCTGTCAACGATCATTGTCGTCTCTGCAAGATGAACTTGTGAATTAAAGGTGCAATAAAAATGCAAAGTTTGTATTTGACAAAGGAAGTCCAAAGGAGGATAGTGTATGCTGCTATCAGAACTCGGGTTGGTTCAGCTCTTCACTGATTGGCCGGTGCGCGGTCTACAACTTTCTTGCAAACCATTTAGTGTATTCTGATTCCTGATCTAGTCGCTGGAGAGAAATGAAATTGAGCAGAGGCACTAGGTGGCACCAGCCTGACTAATGCGCAGTAGCATTAGGGAGCTCAAATTGACGGGTAGTTCAAATCGACAGGACATTGGCCCTCCACAATATTAAAAATAAATAAATATTGAGTAATTTAGCAATCTCTCCCAAGCCCTATTTAAACCCTCCTTATGATCAGCTGTAAGATTCTATGCTATGCTCTGCCCACAAGCTGACATCACCCACGCTCCTACATGACAAATCTCCATAAATGTACAAAAATCGTACACTACAAACCTGATGCGATGTGCAGAAGTTTCATTAATACTCTGAAGGGGGAGTGACTTAGTGCAGAGAGCAGAGAGAGGTGGCCTAACCTCACCATACTTTACCTTGAACACTTACCACATTCAGGACAGTCAGTCTTCTCCGCTCTCCGGTCCACGCCCCCCGCGGCTCTTCTTCTGTTCCTCTTCACTCACTCTCACAGTGGCGGCGACAGCACAGGCCCGGAGCGAGAGACCCCCCTGCTGGTCGAGGCCCCTCACAGCAGACGGCCGCGTTCACGCCGCACCTGCGTCAGAGCGGTGCATGCTGGGAAGTCCCCGCTCACCTGCGGAGGCGGAGTCCAAACCCGCATATGTCCTCGAGGCTTCATCTGCCATCCCTGCAGGAGTCCGACGGGCCACAGGGGGCGCTGTCAACACCTCTGAGCGAGCGCCAAACACCAGGTCCTTGAACGCATCGCAGTTTACAGGAGAGTGGTGACACACAGCAGGAAGTGTTTGTGGATATTAAACCTGTTCACACTCATAATGACAAACTGACACTTAAATAATCCATTTAAAAGCTTAAAAACGGCAAAGCACTCTGAGATTCACCAATGTCCGATTTGCTTTTAAATTGTATTATTTAAAGATATACTGTGTAACTTTTCTGATAGACGGTTACAAGATGTTATTACTTTACCTTCAATATTCCAAACTATGACATTAAACTTTTCAATCTCCATAGAAACACGCCACTAGGGCAATTTACAGGTGAGATCTGTGAAAAGGCGACCCCACTCACAGTCAGAATGCATGTTTTAAAGGTATTTTTAGCAATGAAAACACACATAATCAAATAAATGCATCTTATATAAGTTTAATAGCGTATTGTGGAACATACCAAGCAAAGCAATAGCATCTCCATGGTAGCGGAACCCCAACCTGAAAAGTTACGCAGTGCACCTTTAAAGGTCCTATATTATGCAAAATTGTCACTTGTGAGCTTTATGCATTATCTCTAAAATGAATCTCCCTCCCCAAAGCTCAAAATTGTGACGTCATGAAGCGGTAGTTTTCACATTAACAGCTCCTTTTACCTTTAGTTTCGCAGAGATTGGCAATTCCAGGGCTGAATCATCCATTTGGTTCTCGTGAAGGTGGATGGAGTTTAAAAACATAGTGGAGCACTTCCTGTATTACCACATGACATCACACATTTAATGAGGAAACAACATTATTACATAAATCAGAAAGTAGTGTTATATGCATCCTTTAAACTGGCAAATCCCCACTCCCTCAGCCGCTTCTCAAGACAGAACCAAACATGTTCGTCCAATCAGATTTGTTTATTTCAGTGACACATAAGCATGTCTATGTAACTTTTCTGGTGAATGATCTGCTTGTCCTTTCTGCTTGTCACCATGGAGATGAAATTGTTTTGTCTGGAATGTTTCAAAGTAAGGCATTAAATAAAAAAAAAAATAAATAGAAGAAGTTTGGATTGGTTTGATTTGATGATTTATGTACAACAAAGTTAATACTGTGTTGGTGTTTCTTAAATAAAATGAAAAATTAACAGTTATAGTCAGTATATCTAGGCTAGGGTGACCAGAATTTCAAAATAAAAAACTGGGACATCCCTGTTGTGCTGTTTTTGTGGTTGGTAATAATAAAATTGTGAAACGAATGTGTAAATAAAGAAAATTGTAATGCATAGACCATTCATGACTAACATGTGAGTCAATATACATTTTCTTTGTGTTTTGGTTATTGTTTAAGCAGGTTTTCTGTATTTTACCGAAAACAAATTACATTATGTCTCTCTTTACTGTTGGCTCTATCTCTATCAAATTGATCAAAAATAGGGACACCCGGGACATTTCTTGTATAAAACTGGGACAAATCAGCAGTTTTGGATAAATCTGATGGGACAAGGGACACAGGGCTCAAATCTGTGACTGTCCCGGGTGAATAGGGACATCTAGTCATCCTAATCTAGGTTATATTTTACTTCACTTGTTCACTTAAAATATTTATATCCTTCTTAAATGTTATAAATTTCTCCCCTTTGACTATAAGCCTATATCAAATCCTATCGATCCCTATCCCTTCAATTTTAATCTCCTGTCCTACACACCTCTGCTCGCTAGATGGCGCTTGTCAGTATTTCAGCTCCCTTTCACACCTGTGTTTTTCCCGAAGAACACGCTTTGTTTTGGTCCGTCCCAAGATGGCGTCCGGCGGAGATGACAGCGAGGCTCTGCGGGCTTCTCTGCGGGCTTCTCTGCTCTCCTGCCTGGGCGCTTTGGACCCGAGCGTCACCCAAACCCTGGATGACCGTGTGCTGGAGCTGTTCCTGATGAGGACGGCCGAGATGAGGCGGAGGAGGGTCCGGGAGACGGAGGCCAGGGCGCGGAGGCTGCGGCACTACCTGCGGCGGAGGAAGACGCTGGTGCTGTCGGCAGTGGCGGGGGTCCTCAGCCTCGTCAACTCCAAACCCAGAGAAATATGGAGCAGGGATCGGCCCGTGGAAGGAGGTAAAACGGGACTAAAGGAAGACTATTGGACTTAACTAGGTCTCAGTCAAGCGCTAAACCTGTGCTAAACAAGGACTATTCTCAGGCTAACCCAGGACTAAACCAGGGCACAGACCAGGATTGAACTAGGTCTCAAGACAGCACTAAACCAGGGCTAATCCTTGACAATTCTTGGACAAAAACTGGACTAAACCAGACTAAACTAGACCTATTCTTGGACTAATACCGTGGCCTTATTCAGGACTCAAATCAGGACTAAACCAAGACTAAACTACCTCTCAAACCACCACTAAACCAGGACTTAATAAGGACTATACTAGGACTAAGCCTGGGCTGGACCAGGATTTGAGTACTAGATCTCAAGACAGAACTAAACCAGGGCTAAACCAAGACAAATCTTGGACAAAAACTGGACTAAACCAGAAAAACCTAGACCTGTTCTTAGACTAATACCATGGCCTTAATCGGGACTCAAACCAGGACTAAACCAGGACTAAACAAAGACAATTCTTGGACAAAAACTGAAACAAACCAGTACTTAACTAGATCTATTCTTAGACTAAAACCCGGATTTAACCAGGATTCAAGCAGGAGTAAAACCAGGAGTAAACCAGGTCTAAACCAAGACTAAATTACCTCTCAAACCACCTCTCAAACCACCACTAAACCAGGATTAAATAAGGACTATTTTATGACTAAACCTGGACTAAACCAGGATTTAACTAGGTCTCAAACCAGCGCTAAACCAGGACAAAAACAAAACAAAACCAGGATTAAACCAAGACTAAACCAAGCCGATACTTGGAAACAAGCAAGATTAAAACTAGAACTATTTTTGGCCTAAACCAAGACTTAACCAAGACTAAACCAGGACCAAAGTATGGCTCAGACAAACCAGTGGTAAATAAAGGATAACGTGTATGAACAGGACTAAGCAAGGAGTCAGTATGCCTAATGACGACTAAATTAAGATCAAAATCAGGACTGAAAAAGGATTTAAACCAGGAATATACCAGGATTTAACTATGGCCCTGTCAAAGCACATTTAAACCAGTACTAAATATAGGATTCTTCCATGTTGGACTAAGCTAAATATCTCTAACCAGGTCTAAAATAACATCAAAAATGACAGCTGAACTAGGATTTAAACCAGGATTTAAACAGGAACTTTGTTTCCTCAATTAGCTTTATCCCCCAGGTTTGTTAATGGCATCATCTAAAAAATATAAATAATTTGGACTAAAGTAAAGAGTTGATTAATTTCTTGTTTTCCAGGAGATTTTTGGCAGTCAGCTCAGCGCTTCACTGATGAGGAGTGGAAGGCCCAGTTTCGGGTCACACGCGCCACCTTCACCCACCTCCTGCAGCTCCTCGAGTCCTCTATCACCCGAAAGAAGACCCACATCCGAATGCCCATCGACGCACGCCGCCGCCTCGCCATCGCCCTCTGGTGGTACGGGCGGGGAGAGGAGTACAGGCACATCGCAGAGAGGTTTGGCGTTGGCGTGACAACCGTCTGTATCATACTGCGCCAGGTCAGAGGAAAACTACAGGATTTGTCTATAGTTTATGCAAAATAACATGTATGTATTGAACTTAATGTATTGTTTGGATATCATTACACTAGCATAAGTACAACCATTGATATTCTTCCATTTATTTTGTATCTGTGGCAGGTTACCATGGCGATCGTCAACAAACTGTTTAAAAAGTTTGTGTTGCTGCCGAGTGGAGAGAAGTTGGACGCGGCCGTGAGAGCCTTTAAAGAGCTGGGTTACCCTCAGTGCGCAGGGGCCATCGGGGCCACTCACATTCCCATTGTAGGCCCCAGAGAAAACCCACAGGACTACATGAATTCCAGCGGCTGGTACTCCGTCATCCTACAGGCCGTGGTAGACCAGGATCTACAGTGAGACAGCTGTTTTTACCATTAGAAATATGTTATAAATAGGGCTGTGCAATGAATAGGCTTGTCACAATAACTTAGTTTGAAGTAGGGGTGAGCGATGTGCCAAAAAATTCATATTATGATTTTTTTTTTTTTTGAGCCAGATAACAATTTCAGTTTTTATTGCCCAGCCCTGTTTTGTAGTATGATATATTGCTGAAGAAAATATAGATGATAAATAGTAATATTAAAACTAGTTTATATCACTGACAGAATAACCCTAAAGCAGAAATATCTAAAAAATAAATAAATAAATAATTTCATACTGTGACAGCTTCATGCAGAAACTTCATGCAGCTTGAGCAACCTCTAAAACATCTGCTTTTTCTTCCAAATTTCATCCTAAATCATCTTTTGGAGTCTAAAGCCTAATGCAGGGTTCTAATCAAGGTTATCTGAAACTTTATTTTTTGCCATGCTTTGATGACCCACCCTAGTCTGCAAATGTCTGAATTTTGCTCAAATATACAGGAAAAAATCTGGCTCTTTAAGTAACTGATAGTTATTCACCTTATTCCAGAAGTTGCCGTGGGCACCGACATGATCATTTGAGTTGTGTCATTTTATATGGGGCTAAATGTCACCACATAAAAGTATGGTTTTGGAGCGTTTAGAGACAAAAGTGGGCAGGCTGGAATAAAGTGAATAGAAGTTATTTATCCCACCTCCTACAGCTCAAATCTTATGAGCATAGAATAAAGTAAGTCCCCACAATAAATACTGACCCCCAAAAATTATTGTTCCATCTCATTTAATGAATGATAAGTTGTGATTTTATTTTGACAGGACGATTAGTAATTAATCAGTCAGTAAAGATTCTAATAATCAGTTATCACTTTGGGTCTACAGGTAATCCTCTGTCAGTGAAAGAATGTGGTTTGGAGCAAAGTTCAGACTTTGGAGGAATATTTCTTAGATTTTTTTTTGCAACATGGAGCTGATTTGAAAAGATTTGATTGATTCTTTGGTCACTGGTCATCATTCTTGCTCCTTTTTTGATCTTGTCTGAATGTAATTTTTTTTCCTCTCAGTTTCACCCACGTGTACGCGGGCTGGCCCGGCAGCAGCTCCAACTCAACAGTTCTGTCCAGCTCAGACCTGCTCCTGAAGGCAGAGGACCAGCTGCAGGGAGCCCTCTTTCCACAAGAGGTCAGTGTGGAGCTAAGTCACTGCATTTTCTTGATTAGTTACATCAGTGTTCTCAGATATAAGCTTAATGAATTTTGACATTTTCAAGCAGAAACATAAGCTGCTTACGTTACATGCCAGAACCTGCAGCCAAGCCAAGATATGTTCCCAGTATAAAGTGGATAAATCAACATTGGCATAAAACATTTCCATCTCCTTGGAGACTAGAGGATGAGGTTGTCAGGTTAGCGGTCAGATCGGCTTATACATGTTTTTTTCTTCTTTATTATGCATTTTTTGGCTGGTGCGACTTATACTCCAGAGCGACTTACAGTCCAAAAAATACGGTATAACATAGATTAAAAAAATAGTGTATTATGGGCCCTTGAAAGTAACTTGACGCTCCTGTTTTGCAGAAGTCCATAGTGTTGAATGGGGTGGAGATCCCGGTGCATCTGATCGGCGATTCTTCGTTCCCTCTCAAATCCTGGTTGCTGACGGGCTACGACCTCGACCTCTCACCCCAACAGCGCCGCTTCACGTACAGCCTGAACGCCGCGCACTCTGTGGTCGACTCCGCCTTCTCTCGTCTCAAAGGCAGGTGGCGCTGTCTACAGAAGAGGAAGGACATAGAGGTAACTGCGATGCCCGGGTTGGTGTCCGCCTGCTGCGTCCTGCATAACATTTGTGAATATTTGGGAGATGAGTACTTTTCCGAGTGGAGCGAGGACAGAGAGGTGGGGCCTGGACTAGCTTTTCCACAGCCAGAAGTAGATCCCTGTGAGACGGAGGGTTACGGGAGAGCGGAGGTGATCAGGCACGCCATGACTTATAACTTTTTAGAAATCCAACAGCAACCGACTACCATAAATGGATTTACTTTTACATACGAAGACTGAAGAGAACTGTTTGTTATAAGAAACATTTGTAAAGCCTGAACTAAAATGGACTTTTTTACCATTTATTTTTTAACCATGTTTTAGTGTACTGTTGCTTCATTCCTGGAGTTATGTTTTTTGTCATTTGCACATGTGTAAAGTGGAGATATTTTATAAAATGTACTTTATAGAGTTTTCTACCTTGTTATAATATTGTGTCATCCCTGTATATTTCAGTAATCTTGCAGTCTCTTCTACGCACTATTCAAACCCTCCTCAGCTGTATGAGACTGTACAAAACAATACACTACAACTTGACAAATCTGATGTGATGTACAGTAGTTCATTGGCGGGATGTAATGGCGATGTAATATGATAGTGCTCTGATCGTGCTCTGAGAGGGGAGTGACAGTGGAAACATACGTTATTATGTTTTGTCTCAACAATAATACACCATAGAAGTGTAATGCCACCTCTCCAAGTATTTTATTATATTAAAAGTTTGGAGACTAAAAAAGAACAAAGTAACAGTTTTACCTCGTTTTTTTTTTTAAATATGTAGTTTGGGGCGTTTGGGGCATTTGAGTCCAAATCTCCCTCAGCTGTCTCTGGGTGAAAAAAATTATATTTGTTAATGTTATAGGTCAGGGGTGTCCAGACTTTTTTAATCAAGGGCCACATATCTAAACACAGACAGAGCTGAGGGCTGTAGACTGGTGCTCAATACAGTGAATAATTGAAATATGTGCATGTTTAACACGTTAGAATGATCCATCCGTCTTTATTCATGCTAAGATATTTTAAACCACACACTAAATATTAAATATTGGCTTTATCAAGGTGGATTTTCAAAAAAACTTGCAATAAAAAGTACATTTTTCATTGATGGAATTCTCTTGGAAGCCTGAGGCCCAAGAAAAATTTGTCTAAGGGCTGCATTTGGCCCATGAGCCATAGTTTGGACATGCCTGTTATAGGTTTTCGTATGTGATAATTCTATCTTATCTCAATAACAAAGAAAAGGGAAAAATATTTTTGGTTCTGTTTTGTATTCTCAGAAGGGAGCTGGAGGGGGAGCTCTATCACTAAGTTTAGAGTTAGAGTTCTTAAAGTGACGTAGTCTGGATTTATTAGAATGATTCAACCATAGTCTCATAACAATTCAAAAACTATGTTGTATATATTGTCATTACAGTCTGTTATTGAGGCAGAGAGGATTGTCTAAAGACAAACGATCCCAGATGCTTTCTCCTAAACTAAAATTAAACCAATAGTTTTTGTGTGTTTATTACATTGACATGAGCGATATAGCCTGCTGCGTAGTTACATCTGCACATTAGAGCACATCCTCCACATCTTCACAGACCCTTTGTGATGATATAAGAGGGTGAAGAGTAAACCAAATGTCCAGATATTGCAGAATTAAGGCAAAATCTATATGATCACGCTTTAAAATCACACATGTGCCAAGTAAGGATCACTCATGTTTAATTTGGTTACTTTTAAAATAATTTCTTATCTACAATTTCATTTAATGACAAAACATCTCCAAAAGCCGACTCTGTGTTACCGCTACATCTTCACTGCCAACATGACGTCCCCGACAGATTTAGTCACGTGGTGCAGGAGCCACAATTCATTACACCATTCAGTGCAATCAAGACTTCAGTGAGTGTTATACTGGAGAAACAAAACAGCCAGTCCAGAAGAGAATGTACCAGTGAGCAAAGGAGGCCATTTTTGTTAATAAAGACAATGCTTGTTTGAACAGGAATGGGGGCTTAGACATAATTTATCTTTGACCTAAATCAAAACACAACAAAGGTAAAATGCAGTAACAGGGCTGACAGTTAAAAGGCCTTTAAAGTTCAGATGTTGTTCCTCTTGTGTATGTGAGAGGTACACTAATGATGAGTCAAAAACATAACTTTTCTGGTGGAGGTTCTGTCACCTGCTTGTTTCCATGGATATGCCATTGCTCTGCCTGGAATGTTCCACAGTATGACATTAAACAGATCTTTTTTACATTTATACAATTACATGTAGTTTTACTGTGAGTGGGGTCGCCTCTCTCTACTGACCTGTAACTTGCTCTGGTTTGGTTTCCATGACGACAGAAAGGTTTAATCTCATACTGTGAAACGTTACACAATGCAGTTATTGTGCTTTTGCTTTGTGTCAGTGAAGAATGTGTAGTCAAAACAAGACAGAGTTGAGCCATAACTTTGTCACCAAAACAAAACATCAAAACAAGTATTATGAAGGTGTTTTTGATCTTAACTCAATTTTGAATGTAGTAGTGAGATTTAATGTCCACCCATTGAAGTTTGGGCCATTCCTCTCATCATTTACCCATTCACGTGCATTTAACACATATGGGTCGTTGAGACATATTCCACTCACTAATGTTTGTTTAGCAGCAGAATTTATAATATCAAATGGTGATGAACTGTTTTAGTGCGTGGACAGCATCGCAAACTAGCATCGCAACTTCATGCTCATCACACAGACAGAGACGCTTTGTGCATTCAGGCTGCGTGTGCACCCACTGTGTTAATAAACTTATAATCCATCTATACAGTCTATAGAAGTTAGCCCCTCCCTTCAGGCAGATATAAAACAGTGTCCACCAGCAGATGCCTCTGTGGAACATCTTCACTCAAAAACTTCATTAATTTATCTAATCTTGAACTACTTTATAAAATTGCACCTAATTTTCTAGATAACAATGGCTTCTTCTCTTAAGTAGCAGCCCATTTTAATGTTACATTAATACACAAGTGTAAAAACTGCACATTTTGGACTAATAATTTTTTTAAATGCAAATTTAATTCAGATGTTCCACATCGTATGTAAGTAACAGCATGTCCTGTAGATTTCAGAAAATAGATTTAATAGGTGTAGATTTTAGAAAATAGAATCCAACTTATTTCTGTCAAAATACATAGAAGCCTGCATTTGTTGTTGTACTCACTCACCGTTAGCACAGTGTATTGCTGGGGCAGTTGTGCATCAGGTTCAGAAAGACTGTTTATTTGTGCTTTGAAATTGACTTTGGAAATCCTTGAGTTTGCCGTGGCCAGCCTGTACATGTGGTAAATGCAAGCCTTTTCAGTCAGTTGTTTTCCCTGTAGACCTGTTACAAACGGCTAAACGCGCCCAGTCAAGTTTGATTGTCTTTCCCATTGACAAACAAAGCCAGTGCCGCGGGCATATGTCCTGCTGGAGCTGCCATGTGGCTATGCTCATGCTGATGCACGAATGTGTGTTTGGGCCTAACTAACACAAAGTTTTGGCAGTTAGTGTCATAGAAATGGATTTCTTTAGGCCTAAATCAAATTCAATAGGCTCTGTGGTTAGAAGAAAGATGTTTGTGTCTCAATGCTACATTAATGTAGGGTGAAAAATTCAAAACTGAGACACACCCGGGTTAGGATGGTTGGTTTAAACAAAACTGTGAAAACAGCACATAACATTGTCCATTCTCGACTCAGTTGTGGACTTGAACTCCTCCACTTGATCCAGGGACTCTCCACCCACCTGGAGAAGGCAAGCCACTTTTTTTTTGGTCGAGAACCATGGCCTCAGATTTGGAGAAGCTGATCTTCATCCCAGTTGCTTCACACTCGCCTGCAAACCGCCCCAGTGCAGGTTGCAGGTCCTGGTTCAATGGAGCCATCAGAACAACATCATCTGCAAACAGCAGGGATGAGATCCCCGAATCAGACCCCCTCTGAGCCCTGCACCTAGAAATTCTATCCATATAAACAATGAACAGAACCGGTGACAAAGGTCTGACTTACTGCCAGCAATGCGAACACAGCTCCTGTTCCAGTCATACAGGGACCGGACAGCCCTTCACAAAGTGCCCTGGACCCGATACTCCCAGAACACCCCCCACAGGACACCACGAGGGACACAGTCGAATGCCTTCTCCAGATCCACAAAGCACATGTGGACTGGTTGGGCAAACTCCCATGAACCTTCGAGCACCCGATGGAGAGTGTAGAGCTGGTCCAGTGTTCCACGGCCAGGACGAAAACCACACTGCTCCTCCTGAATCCGAGGTTCGACTATCGGCTGGATTCTCCTCTCCAGTACCCTGGAATAGACCTCACCGTGGAGGCTGAGGAGTGTTGCAGAGATGTCTCATCTACCCCCGTAGCCTTGCCACCGAGGAACTTGCCAACCACCTCAGTGACTTCAGTCATGGTGATGGATGAGTCCACCTCTGAGCCCTCAGCTTCTGCTTCCTCCTCGGAAGATGTAATGGTTTGTTGAGGAGATCCTCAAAGTATTCCTTCCATCGTCAACAGCTCTCGCTCTGCACTGTAAACAGTGTTGGTGAAGCACTGCTTTCTCCTCCTGACGCACCGGACGGTTTACCAGAGTCTGAGGCCGTTTGATAATCCTCCTCCATGGCCTCCCCAGACTCCTCCCAGCTCAGAGTTTTTGCCTCTGCGACAGAATGAGCTGTGCCACACTTGACCTGATTGGTACCTGTCAGCTGCCTCAGGAGTCCCATGAGCCAGCGAGGTGACGATCCCTACAGTCAGGTTCTGTGCAGGTGGACTAGGTTGTTGAGGCCTCTAACCTCAACTGCCACCGAGGCCTCTTTGCACCTGACCACTGTGAAACCCTCTGCTGGTGGTGTGTCTAGAGGAGGGCAGACCCAGGTCATCCTTTTGGACCCCAACCCCAGGCCTGGCTCCAGGGTGGGGCCCCGGCTGCGCCATACTGAGCGATGTCATGATCCTTGGTCTTAGACTGTTCATAGGGGTTCATGAACTGCTCCTAGTTTGACCCGTCACCTTGGACATGTTGCCATGGGAGACCCTACCAGGGGCATAATGCACCGTTTAACATAGCTCCTAGGATCATTCAGGTACTCCTCCACCACGGCAAGGTGGCAGTTCATGAGGGAGAGATTGGGGCATTTCTGGTATAAAGCTGGGACAAATCACTGGTTTTGGATAAATCTGTTAGGACAGGGGACATGACTGAAAACTGGGACTGGTCACCCTATGCTAATGCTAATTTTGAGCCATAATGAATATTAAAACAATGGGTAGTCTTTACTTTAATTCATTTGAATTTTAATAGGTTGTTTATTTAGTTTTATCTTAATAAAAGTGACTGTTAGCTTTAATATAGTAACAGTAAGCTTGGTAGTGTGCTGCGGCAAAGAGCCTATATTATGGAAGCTGCATCCAATTACCAGCATTGTGACTTTCCCTAAGCTCCTGTTTGTCCAAATGATGCAAAACCTGGCAAACGTCTTTGGAACTGTAAAAATGCTAATGTTATATCCAGTCATTTGAGAAGAGCTATGATAAATACCATGTTTGTGAGTTCACAGAGGAATAACTTTTTAGTTTTTTGACAGTATGTACTACACACAGTAATTACTATATCGATTTTATCGTTCAGTACAGGAAAGCTGGAACAATGTTTAGGGCTCAATATTTATCGTACGTAGAGTTTTTGAAAATGGGGAGATTGGAGTATTTTTGTTTGATTTGAGCTGTATCAGGTTTTGGAGAGCATATTGGACCTGGCAGTACTGTTCCTAGAGGAAAAGACATTCATATGAGCGATGGATCTGATAAAACTGAGTGGGCTGTGAGTATATGAGCAGAGAGAATTTGAGATTTGAGGCCAGAGACCCATTTGGCGGAGCAGAAGAGGAGCAGGAGCATGATGGATGTCTTCAGCCACACGTCACTTCCGTCAAAAAGTCCACACCTCATTTTGTCAAAAACACCTTCCTCTCCTTCAAAAACATTTGTTTTATTTGGTGACAAAGTTTTATGGCTCAACTCTATCACGTTTTTGCGAAATCTTGTTGCAGTAACAGTTTCATCAGTAATTCAATGGAAAGGAGCAATGACTGCAGCTGGGAATGTTCTGTCCATTTCAGACATAAATACTGAACTTTTCCTTTGTGTTACTGGAGAATTTCACACACCTCACAGATACTGCAACATGTTTTTTGTCTAATTCTTAAATTGGACAAAATACAGATTTAAAATTCCTTAATCAACACACAAACTAAAATACTTAAAAGATTTCACCAAATTTGCTGTCTCAGACCACCTCATTTTCTATACTTTCCTTACAGTCAGAGGATGAACGTGAAATCAGTGGCAATAAATGTGATAGATACACACACACACACACACACACACAAGAGGAACAACATCTAAACTTTGAAAGTTATTTTTCTCAGTTTAACTGACAGTGTGGATACTGTGTTTTTCTTTGTAGGACAGAATGGGTGGTAAAAGTATTCCTGAAAAAGTCCTGGGTGAAAAATCCATATTGTCATCAACATGCCCATTTTGGTTTCCAACTTTTTCAGTAGCATTTTCATCAACACCAGAAACACTTGAAACAGAATAATTATAGTTAAACCATCATATCATAAATAAACCAAAAACTGCACATGCAGTTTATAGTTAGTGTCAGGGATAGAACTAACTCAATTTCCATTCATTTCAACCTAAAATCTTCCCAAACAGTGCAAAAAACACGTGTGAGTGTGAGTTAACCTTGATTCAGTATATTTTCTTTCTGAATTTAACTATTTATGTAAAAAAAAATGTTACGCAAACAATACTATAACAGTTTTTGACATTTATACCTTTTCCAAGTTCACCCTCTGTACTTGGTTCAGATGATGCTCAAAGAAGTGGAGTTTGTTGTTCTCTGTGGACCTTTCCTCAAAAATGGTTTGAGATTGTGTCTTTAAAATGATTCAGTGGTATTTTTAAAGTGCTCTGTGGAGAGTTGTGCAACTGTTTTTGTATTAGCTTAAAGTTTGTAAAGAAACACGTGGACGACTGCTCTGTTTATGCGTCAGTGTGGGACTGAATAGAACTGTGGCTCTGCTTCAGGAACTCTGTTACACTCATTATCATTCTTAGATTTGAATAATTAAAATATTAATAATGATCCTCATCATCTTCTGAGGGAGGAGGAGGAGGGATATCAGGAGCCACAGGAGCCACAGGTCCCACCGTCAACCTTAGGAAGACCATGGAGGAGGAAGGCTGAGTGGATGAATGCATCTAAGCAGAAAGAGTGCACAGTGTTAAATGCCACTAGAACTTTTGACATGAATACCTCTCGCCAAGTACACCAACCTTGGCTTGCTTCAGATGTTTGTAGTATTTTTTTATTACAAAAAAATATTAAATAATTCTGCCACTATAGCCTCGATAACAAACTTTATGATCTTAAAATTAATTATGTATTATGATGCAGGTCTACAGTTAATATTCGAAGACTTCATAACGGTATAGTACAAGGGTCACCAAACTTTATTCTCTGAGGGCCACATTATCACTTCTGACTGTGATGGGGGCCAGGGTCAGGTCGGCTGTATAACAAAATTGTATGACGTGTTATTATTTGCCAAAGAGTAATAATAATTTTTTTTAAAAAAGGCCATGACAAGTTTTGAAGATTGCTTCACAGGGCCAGTTCAAGTGGTGGGGGGCAGAGGACTAGGTCAAAGGGGCACGGAGGGTCAGGAGGTGGCTGCGGGCCTTAGTTTGATGACCCCTGGTACAGTGGCTCTATGTTATGTTAAATTACTGTATACATATGTATCAAAATGATGAAAAAAGTTTGGATACTCCTGACCTAGTGACATAAGGACCATTGTTCTGTTGTCTGATCTTTTTGTAAACACAAGATGGCGCCATTAAGCCATGTTTTAAAGGAAACATTTTCTAGTGTGGGCTTATAATGATCATCTTATCTGCATTTTGGAAAAGCAATGTCATATGTGCCTAACAACAATTAGAACGAACGATTGTGCACATTTTAATTCTCCCAGGACATATTGCTAATTGCTTTAAAAAAAAAAAAAATTCCACACTTCAGCATTAAACTCATCCAGCTTCAAGTTACAGATCAGATCAGTGGAGAGGCGAATACACATAGTAAGAATGGATATTGATCAAGGCATTTTTAAAGCAATAAATCACAAGACAAGTCAATTGTGGGAGACCTACTGGAAAAGTTACATAGTGCATCTTTAAATGTGCAGCATCAGTTTTTTTTCCCGCTTGTGGACTAGAGGTAGCAGCAGTTCAGTTGAGTTCAATGTATCTAGTAGTGACAGTAGTAGTAGTAAACAGTGTTTGTAGTAGTAGTAGGCTAGTAGTAACAGTGGTAGTAGTATCAGTAACTGCAGTAGTGGGCCTAGTGCTTGTACCCTCAATAGTGGTGCTTCTGCTGCTGTGACCTAAATCTGTTAAATGCGAGTCTCGTGAGCAGATCCTCTTAATCCTGACATCACATCTGTAGCTCTACATCTGTGAGATCCCGGAACAGCTCTACGCACGTATCATTCAAAAACTGTTTACAGCAAAATGTCTGTACTAATTATTTACTCTACACAGCCTAATCTAAAGGCTACAACTTCCATATATTCCATTTAGAGATACTGAATGGACTGAAATCAATCTGTCAGTGGAATGGAGTGTGTCTGGAGCCAACCCGAGTTTAATCTCATTTTTACATTTTGTTGGAGTGTCCCTGATCTCCTCTCTCCTGGCCCAGTTCCTTCACACGGTCCTGTGCTGACGCCGCCCCCTCAGTACCTCAGATGCCGCTGTCAGTCACGGTGCGTGGGTTTGAGTAGGAGCGCGACGCACCGCTGGATTTTACGAGTCTCCGTTCGTTCACGCCCACTCCGCTCCAAAGGCCCACCCACCGGTCCCTGTTTCCCCACGAACCGACACCGCGGCCGGACACTATCCCCGCGTCTACCCGCTCTCTGTCACCCTGGTGTTTCGTCCACAAACCGCCGCTGCTTCGCTCTTTTCGCTTCATGCTTCAGCGCCGCAGGAGTTAACGCGCGCCGGATGCGCCTCGCTTCAGCGCGCCGCTCCACTTCGAAGATGGCGTCGGAGGGAGCCAGCGGAGAGGCTCCGGGACAGTCCCTTACCGCGGCCGTGCTGACCAGCGCCGACACGGTAAGAGCCCCGGTACCTCCAGAGCACACGGCTGTCTCAATGTTTACGACCAACGACAGACGCGGCGCGGAAAAACAGCTGCGCGTCTCAGAGCTCTAAAGAAAGGAGCGACAGCGTCAGAATCAGTGAGCACACACGGCTCATCGGAGCTCAGAGCCCGGGCTGAGTCTCTGAACGGACCCGGGTCTAGTATGGACCTGGATCCTGGTTCTGATTCGGTTCTTTTGTTTGTGTTTGCTTTTGACGCTCTTTACGCAGGGCTGTTACGTTACCGCATCAGAGAAGACCGCGTCATACACATTTATACACGGTCTACTCAGCTCTCAGTGGAAACACGACCCAGTTTATTCCTCATTTATTCCCGATTCATTCCTGATTTATTCCTGATTTAGTTTAATCTTGATTTGATCCTGGTTTGGCTCCAGATGTTGGTTTTGCTTTTGATAAACCTGTCTTTTGTTATTCTCCGTCTTCAGGTTTTGGATTTGCTGCTTTCTTTGAATAGCCTATCATATTTACGGGATCCCCAGTAACAGGTCCCTGGTTTAATCCTGGTTAAGGGCTGGATAAAACCTGGTTTAGTTGTTCTTTAGACCTTTTTATTACACTGTTATTAGTCGTTCTATAGCTCTGTTGCGTTCAGCTGGTTGGACTGGTCTTGCATTTGTGACCCACTTTCTAGAGAATTAAAGAAATAGGAACCCTTTATAAATAAAATCTCTGCTAGAAACCATAATCAGGGCTCCATTCCAACTAAGTCTTTTGTTATAGATTCTCTAAAGCTGCTCTTTTATTCTGTTAAACCCTGGCCTAAAAGTGGACAGGTGCAGGTCTACTTCCAGCTGTAAATGTCAAATAGTTGGCATTAAGGTTCATGTTTAATTCATCATCAGTACTGACAGTGTGCAGTCCAAACTCTTGTTCATTATGAGATGTTTTGCCGTATCACCCATCTCTGTCTGGACCTCAAAGATCCATCGATGGTCTGGCCGCCTTTATTCACACGTTTGACAAAGAGGAGCTGATGCGGTCCATGTTTTTCAAAGTGTCTGAAAGAGAGGTAGATAAAGAGAGAGAAGGAGATGAAGAAAGAGAGGGAGAGAGAGACTGAGAAAGACAGAGAGACGGAAAGAAAAACAGAGGGAGAGAGAAAGAGAAAGGGAGAGAGTGGGAGAGAGGGGTATTCAAGTCTGGAGCCCACGTGAGACATTTCTCTTGAACTCACTGTAAACAACAGACCAGTGAACCAATCTGAGCAAGTAAACAAGCTAGTCCTGGTTTGGGCCTGGTTTAGACCTAGTTTAGTCTCGGTTTAGTCCTGGTTTAGTTCAGTTTTAGAACTGCTTTATTCCTGGTTTGGACCTGGGTTAGTCCAGGTTTAGTCCTGATTTTGAACTGGTCTTGTCCTGATTTAGAATTGGTTTAGTTATGGTTTAGACCTGGTTTGGACCTAGCCTGATTCATCAGCCGGTTTGACTTCATGGAAACCGTCTGACCTTGCAGCATTAGGATTTGTTCGCCCGAATGTAGGTGGGTACTTTTTTTATTTAACCAATCTCTGCTGTTTGGTCGTGACATGGTTGCGGCATCTAATGCGCCGCTAATGGGGCTAACTGGTATATTGAGCTTTTCCCAAATCCCATAGGAAGAAGGACAATGTCTTTCCACTTGATAAAATTCACCAAACATTATCTTTGTTCCCCTGTAAATCCTCGATCTGGGGAATCGTTGCCAACACAGAATGTCTGTCTTCATCTACATCCATCTCAACTGCTTTGTTTACTGTTCTGCTGTACCACAAAAGGGACCCAGACAGGCGATTGAGTTTGTCGTCATAGCTTCACAGCTCTTCACTGATCGGCCAGTGCACTACAACTACAACTTCCAGGGTTCTTGCAAATCGCCTAATGTATTCCGATTCCTGACCTAGTCACTGGAAAGAAATGAAATTGAGCAGAGGCTCTAGGTGGTGCCAGTCTGCCTAGTTTGGACCTGGTTTAAACCAGAAGAAACTTGACCCCTCATTAGAGGAAGGCAAATAATGGTGCTTAATGAAATATTGGAGGATTGTCTTTTCACTCCTTTTAAACTTGGACGCCGGGTCTGTTTGGTCTGGAACTGCCGCTGGCCTTGGTTCTGTCCTGGTCCAGTCCTAATCTTGACTTGCTTCAGTAGGGGTGCGTGTTACTGCTATACATGCATTTCTCAATAATTTGATGAGCTTCAGATGATCAGGAATGTGCACAAATCTGCTGAAAATATCTTTGTTAAAGATGGGGTACCTGATTTTCAAACCATGAAAAATGAAGTGTGTATTTAAATCTATATAACTAGTCCCTATCTCTCACAGAGCTCTTGGCACAGCACTAGAATTCACATTATTTGACAGAAATGTGGAGCAGAGTGGACCACCGATGTGTACAGCCAATCAGCTGTCAGCACACAGCGTCAAATAATGACACATGACTCAAGTTCACAATGAATCAAATGTTTTCTAATTAAATGAAGACAGTGTGTACCTGTCTGATTTTTGCCACACAGTGCTGTTTTTACACTACACTTTCTGGGGCAAAACAGAGTTGACTAATTAATGAGAAAAATAGCATGGGTATTTCAGCTTTCAGGTTCAAATATTGGTCAGAAAGTGAATGGGCTGTACTATAAACCACTAAAGTGCAGAAACATTGCTTTTTACTGTTATTACAAGGTTGTCCTACAAGTTTGTATGTAATATGTAGTGAACTTTTTTTTTTTTAAATAATTGAAATAAATAATTTTTCAGTATCTCTCTCATGTCCCAGGTCTATGCCTGATCTTGTCTTGGTCTTGTCCTGGTCGACTTGTCTGGTTTAGTCTAGTCCTGCTTTAGTCCTAGTCTAGTTTTGGTCTAATCCTGGTCTAGTCCTGGTTTAGCCCTAGTCTAGTCTTGGTTTAGCTCTAGTCTAGTCCTGGTTTGAGTCCTGGTCTAGTCTTGGTTTAGCCCTACTCTAGTCCTGGTTTAGCCCTAGTCTAGTCCTGTTTTAGCTCTAGTCTAGTCCTGGTTTGAGTCCTGGTCTAGTCCTGGTTTAGCCCTACTCTAGTCCTGGTTTCGCCCTAGGTAAGTGCTGGTTTAGCTCTAGTCTAGTCCTGGTTTGAGCCCTGGTCTAGTCCTGGTTTAGCTCTGGTCTAGTCCTGGTTTAGCTCTAATCTAGTCCTGGATTAGCTCTAGTCTAGTCCTGGTTTAGCTCTAATCTAGTCCTGGATTAGCTCTAGTCTAGTCTTGGTTTAGCCCTAGTTTAGTCTTGGTTGAGCCCTACTCTTGTCCTGGTTGAACTCTAGTTTAGTCCTGGTTTAGCTCTAATCTAGTCCTGGTTGAGTTCTAGTTTAGTCCTGGTTTAGCCCTAGTTTAGTCCTGGGTTATTTCTGGTCTAACCCTGGTTTAGTCCTGGTCCGGTCCTGGTTTTCAGGAGTAGAGAAAGTGGGTTAGGACTCACTGGAGAAGGCTAAACGCAGCTCTGCTTTAAATAGAACAGTCCTCTGGTTCAGGCTTCAGTCAAACCTAAACAAACCACTGTTTAGATTCCACGTGTCTCCATTATCTTGTCTCTCAATATCGGGTTAATGATAATCGAGAAAATTACATTAAAAATGTGTTAATTATTATCATAATGAACATATTCTGCAACTAAAGCTTTAAACACGCTGCGTTTCTAGTGATTTTTGATTGTTTGATTTGTCTTTTTTTGCCCTGCATTTGAGGCACCATTGCTCTGAAAATTACTGTTAATACATTAATAAATAGCAGAATTAATTAAGAATTAGCCAAAGAAGGTATTAATTCTTCCCTAAACATAAAAATGGCAAAAAAAAATAAATACCCCCACTCTACACAATAAATATTTAGCCCCAAAATATATTGTTTCAGCTTTCATATTGAACCATAACTCGATATAGTCATTTCCTGGCAGGTCTACAGGGAATCAATGGGCCAGTATATACTATTAAGTTGTTTTGGATCAATATTGTTCTAAAATGAGGAAATTGTTAAATCATAATCTGTCTGTGTCACCTAGGACTGCAAAATTAACCATCATTTCATTCTTGTATTAGTTCGTTAGTTCATATTTCAGTCTTTTTGTCAATTCTTCTAGACACTTGTTTACATTGTGAACTTTGAACAGAATCTTTTTATTGATACTTTGCAGCGGCATCGCGCTGGGGGTGTTTCTTGTATCACTATGGTGGTATGATCTGCAGTTACCATGGAGACACTATGCACACATTAGCAAACACTGTCGAAAAGTTTTACGATAGTCTGAAAACTGAAGAAAAAAACAAAAACAAAATAAAAAAGGATGTAAACAGCATTTTCAGGAGGAGCTGAGGTGACTAAGACAAATCACCTCACCTGTAGCTGTTCCAAATAAGACAGTTTTTTCCGGGTCAGATTGTGTTAAAACAAAGCTCAGATTTAATACTAACGGCTGAATAATAGTTCTGTGTTGACTCAACTCTGTCGCTGTCACCATCGTTTTTGATTTATGGATCTGCAACAAGGTCTATGCTCCGCAAGGTAATTCACGGCCACAAAGCTAGGGGGCCAGGATTGTGTTCGTGTATACAAAATGAAGCAGGAGTGGAGTACTGGAAATGTTTGTAGAGTAGATGTAGACAGGACTAATCACAGCCCTTACAGGTCTGTGTCGCTCTTCTTTGCTGTCTGCGTCGATTCAACGCAAACGATTTGACGCACGATCATAAACTGAGCTTAACAGAGCTTCAGACTAGGGTTGTGTATTGCCTTGAGACTGACGATCCCACTGTTTCCCGCCACGCTTTATAGGTAGGGTGGCCGCCTTGACAACAGTTGCCCCCTCCTTTGACTACATCCCTCTGAACCACGTGAATCCTCACAAAACTACGGTCGTCGAGCCCTGGTCCTCACTTTCAACGGCATTGAATTCCCCCCAGTCATCACCTTGACTAACCAATTTTCTGTGAGAAACACTGAATACGATACA